TGAGGTCTGGACTCTGTGGTGGCCAATCCATGTGTGAAAATGATGAGTCATGCTCCCTGAACCAGTCTTTCACTATTTGAGCTCGATGAATCCTGCATTGTCATCTTGGAATATGCCTGTGCCATCAGGGAAAGTCCATTGATGGAATAACCTGGTCATTCAGGATATTCAGGTAGTCAGTTGACCTCATTCTTTGAGCTCATCCTGTTGCTGAACCTAGACCTGAGCAACTGCAGCAACCCCAGATCATAACCCCGCCCCCACAGGCTGGTACAGTAGGCACTAGGCATGGTGGGTGCATCACTTCACCTGCCTCCCTTCTTACCCTGATTGGCCCATCACTCTGGAACAGGGTCAATCTGGACTCATCAGACCACATGACCTTCTTCCATCGCTCCACAGTCCAATCTTTATGCTCCTGCAAATTGAAGCCTTTTTTTCACTGGTTAGTGGTTTTCTTACGGCTACACAGATGTTCAATCCCAATCCCTTGTGTTCCCTTTGCATTGTGCGTGTGGAAATGCTCTTACTGTCAGTATTAAACATAGCCCTGAGTTCTACTGTTGTTTTTCTTCCATTTGATCTCACCACACGTTGAAGTGATCGCAGATCACCATCATTCAGGATTTTTTTCCGGCCACATTTCTTCCATGAAGATGATGGGTCCCCACTATCCTTCCAGTTTTTAATAAAGTTCTTAACCCAGTTTTAGTAGTTTCTGAATCTCTGTAGATGTTTTCTCTGCTTGATGAATGCCAATGATTTTACCCTTCTTAAACAGACTAACATCTTTTCCACGACCACGGGATGTGTGTTTCCACATGGTTGTTTAGGAAATGAGAAGCAAGTCATTGCACCAGTTGGGGTTAAATAACTTGTTGCCAGCTGAAAGATAATCGCCCAGCAGTAATTATCCAATAGGAGGCTCCTACCTATTTGCTAAGTTGAATCCAGGTGGCGACTTTTTTTTGGCCAGGCAGTGTATATCTGTAGGGTGGGGCCTATAAATCTGATAGTTTATTTTTTTAATCGCTATTTTTAGAGTTTACTTAACTAAGTATTATTTTGTTGTTGAATATTATATAGAGATTTTGCAGATATATTTTTATATTTTTTATATAGGTTTATATTTACTTATATATTTCTACCCCTTTTATAGAATAGAATAGAATAGAATAGAAAAGTTAAAGCAGTTTCCAGAAATTGTCTTAATTAAAGGTCTCCAGCTGACGTCAGTCATGGTGAGTGGCATATTTTATGTCTATGTCTCCCTCTGCTGGCATGTGCTGATATGACATCTTTCAGATATTTCATGAATCGGTTTTTGTTAAATTCGGAGTCATCATCAGACAGTGGGGGATCTCAGCCCACCTTTCAGTTTTAACTGTTTTAATTATAAATTCATACAGAGATCTTTTGTTTCTTTGGTTATAAAAGACATTATTCTGGATCCTGGAAAGAATAACATGATGGTCTGATAAACCATCATTGTAAAGTTTGGACATCCTGTCAGTGCAAAGTTGGTCTATTTTAGTTTTTGATGTCTAGTAATGTGAGAAAGATGTTAAACAGGACAAATAAAACTACGATTATCGATAACACACTCTAAAATATGTCTATCCTATTTACAGTTCTTATTAAAATGTCAGGCTGCAGTTATTTCATTGGACTTGCTCTGTTCTGTTTGATGCTTCAGCATCAGACCAAGATTCATCTCTGAAGAGAGGAACGTTTCCACGGAAACTTTTTAACTTTGACCTTCAGCTGCTGCACCGACTGTAGCGAGGTCGGTAACTGTGGCTAGCAGCCAATCCCTCCTCTGTGACATGGTGCAGTTTTTAAAAAAAAAAACTAAATATTTTATAGCTGAAAGAACTCGGCCAGCATTTGTTCGATATGCTCGGTTCTCTAAAACTAAAGATCCTGATTAAATTATTTAGTTCTTTTTGCAATAGCGACTTCATTGTGAACTGAAACCACTAGTAAACTGATGTTGTTGGAGGGGAATCGTGCTAAAACATCTAAACTGTGTCTATCAGAAGAGTTGTTGGGTAAAATGTTGATAAAAGACGTGGATGTTGGTGAAGTTCTGGTTAATGGGGCCTGTTGCTCTGTCACTGCAATTATAATGGAAGGAAATAAAAACTTTCCCCAAAAGGCTTATGTTTAATTTGATGGTGATCATGGGTCTTAAAAGAAGGAAGAACTTTCTGTGTTTTTCATCTCATTGATTTGGTTCCACATCTATTGAACCAGAGGAGGAAAGAGTCACTGTTTAAGATGGAATGCAGAGACAGTGTCCACCCAACTGAGCCTGAGCCTGCACCGGCAACAAACTACCAGGCATGAGGCAACCAAGAGGATTCAGATGCAAAACCCAACTCAGGGAAAGGAAATCTATTATTGTCTAATATAGAGTTAGAGAGACTGGCAAAAAACAAACACAGAAACAGATGCTAGTCAAAAACAAGAGAGCAAAATATCTCAGCTGGTTGGTAAAGTAGAATAAAGGTGATCTGGCCTGGAAAGCTGCAGAGGGAGAGGTTTAAATAGGTAAAGCAACGAGACACAGGTGAGCGGTAGGGAGGCTGATTAGAGGGGAATCCTAGGAAGTGAAACCAGAACCCTGAAATAAAACAGGAAGTTCAAAAACCGACTGAGTCAGACACAAAATAATTATTTGACCAAAGCACATAACACTGATGTTGGTTGATGGTTTAGTTTTCTTATCAAGAAATATACTTCAACAAAACATTAAAACTTGTAATTCGAATAATCATTAATTTAGAAAATATTTCAGTTAGTTTCACTTTCTAAATTGGGGTTGGGGGGGGGGTGTTATTGACTGCTCCACTGTCAATACTCTAAAGGTTTTATTTGTATTTTAAGGTATTGTCTTGTGTATTCAAAAGAAGTTTTTTTTTGTTTTGGGATTTTGTAGAAACCGTTCTAAAGAAATTACAGGTATTAATAAAAATTGGAACCTCCATGTTAGGATTTGTAAAAATCAGCTGTAATAAATTAAGTTGTGATATGCACCCAGCTCCATATTGCAGTTTCATGTAAAATGCAAATACTTGTATAAATAAGTTTGATTAATTTTCCTATTACATAAAAATAGTAAGAATCTAGGAACCCTTTTCCCATAATCCTAACGGGATGATGTGTGTAGATTTAACAGAATATTAATTTAATACTACTTTAAATAAGTGTCTAGTATGCATAAAAAATAAAATATTGTGTTGTATTTCTTTAGCTCAGCTACAATCGCTAACATATTTTTATATTCCTGTAAAAACTTTCAACAAAATTGAAAGACAGAACAAATAAAGACCAAACCTCCAGACCTAATCGGAGCAGAGTGTCTGCAGGTCAATGCAGGGAGGAATGATCTGATCTTTATATTGGAGAAACCAAACAACCTCCACAGACGCATGGCCCAACACAGAAGAGCGCCCTCCTCTGGACAAGACTCTGCGCTACATCTACACCTGATGGACAAAGAACATTCTTTGGAGGACCAGAATGTTCACATTATGGACAAAGAAGACAGGTGGTTTGAGAGGAAGGAAGCCATCTATGTTAAGAAAGAAAAACCAACAATTCCCACTAACGACCCCCCTTTCAGAGACATAGACAGGTATGGGGCATTGCAGGCTAACAAAGAAGCCAAACGACCCCCATTCCAAAGGGGGGGACCCGTTCATCCGTTTCTATTTGCATGTTTTCTAAACTAAAACCAGGCTTTGTTGGGCTGCTGATAAAACCTGGAACTAAACGCTATTTCTGACATTTTGGATTGAAAAATCTTCCTGGATGGAAGAGAAACGTCTTCAAACTGGGAAACAAAGTCCAGAGGATTGATTTTTAATTATTTTTTAATGACTCTGACCTGAATGACTGAGGATCTTCACCAGCATTCAGGACGTCTTTAAGTTCTTAGAAACAGATTTCTGTTCTGATTTAATGTGTTTCTATTTGGCATCAACTAATGAAAAATGCATCATCTTTTATCAGCAAACAAATGATTGATTTTATAAGAAACTGCTTTTATATGGATGCTTAAATTATAAAATCATCATCAGCATCAAGACTTTCTAAAATACCTTTTTTTTATTATTCCTTGAAGTTGTTTGATTAAAACAAACATTCTTAGTTTTTTTTTTGTTAAAAATGAATCTTTATGTTTTATGTTGGAGAAATTGGTAGAACTTCTCATTTGCAGTAAAAGTTGTTGGTTTGAATCCTGAGCTGAGGTCCTTCTGCAGGGACTTATCCTCCTTGCACACAGTAGTTCTCTCTGGGTACTCCGACTTCCTCCCAAAGCAAAACTGGTAGCTTCACCCGTCTCCAGCTTTGCCTTCAGTATTCAGAGCCTAACTGGATGTTGTTTGTCTGATTAACCGTCTGGGTCGTTTCCTGCCTCTCATCCAAAGACTGATAGATACGCATCAGCAGCCATATGACGCTGCATGGATAAGCAGCTACAGACAATGGATAAAACTCTTAGGCTCCAAGGAGCTTTGTTCAAAGCCACCAGATTGATACGGATTACAGCATCAGAATGAAAAAAACAAATCGATTTCTCCTGATTTATCCGGAGGAACCAGGACTGATCCCATCAGGTTTAATAAGCAGCCTGATGAAAGAGAAACAGAAATACTGAAGTTATTGTGTTTTACTCTCATCAATCAAAGCAGCCTCACATGATGCGGAAAGAATCGCAGCTCAAAGCACGATTTTCTGGCTCATCACAGGAGACTCTGTCCTGGGATAAAAACATTTAATCTGTCTGGAATCGTCTGTTATGTTCTGATCATTTGTTCCACAAACATAAACTGAATTGATTAAAGTGGAGGAATCTTCCTGACGTTCCTCTGTGTCGCTGTAGGTTCTGGCTTTCCTCCAGCAGGGGGCAGCGTTTCCCGTCTTTTTCCTGCTCTTCTCTCTGATCAACATTTATTTTCCTTCTCAGAGGCAGAAATCACCACAACAATCAGTCCAAGCTGTTAAACGGAGGCAAAGTTTATTAAAGGAGCAAATTGACCACAGATTGAATCAGCCTGGTTAGAAAAAGCAGCTGAATTCGATTAGCTAATAAACCGCCACAGAGAGGCGCCACATTTCACATTCCTGGGTTATATAATCGGTCCCTCGACGCCGGCTTTTATCCAACAGAGAAAACAGAAGCTTTTAGGAAACAAACTGAAACAGAGATGAAGCTTTTCTATAAAGACTGAAGAGCTGCTGTAGTTTTATTGGGGTTTAAATCGCAGCGTCCTGCTCAGAGGAACAACCTGATGACTCTGGGCTTGAGGTGCTCCAGTTTGCTGGGATCCAGCTGCTTCATGCTCTCCTGAGCCCCCAGGATGAGCTGGTGGGCCTCGTCAAACAGCTCCTTCCCCATGAAGGCCTGGACTCTGTCCCGCCAGGCGCTCAGCTTGGTTCTCCCATCAAAAACATCCAGACCAGCTCCCAGCGGCTGATAGAGACAGAAGGAGAAGGATGTTAGTGTGGATGATGCAGAATCTGGACCTGGAGGAGAAAGGTCTTATCAGAACCTTTATTATCTGGACCGGATCCATGGACTGGATCTGAAGGCTGGTCAGAAAAAGTATGTTACTAAAAATAACTGATAGTCATTCTGCTAAGATCCAGCATATTACAGTAAAGAAGCTGCTGCTCTGGAGGAATCCACACCAGCTGAGCTGTCAGATGTTCTCCTTCCTGATGCTGCCATCGCCATGGAGACCATCAGGGTTACTGAGCAGTAACAGGGTGGCCGTTCTTCTCAGCTGCTTGCAAACTTCTAGAGAATCACAGCTGGAAGCGTCCTGGAACCCGGTGACCGCCGGTAGGTGGAGGACAGAAGTTCAGGTGGTGAGAACAGCACAGGGGATTGTGGGATGCCGTGAACCGAATCTACCTTAGAGCTGCTTGAGCTCCGACTAGAGCCAGATAAACGGCTACAGATCCCATATAAACGGCTACAGATCCCATATAAACGGCTACAGATCCCATATAAACGGCTACAGATCCCATATAAACGGCTACAGATCCCAGATAAACGGCTACAGATCCCAGATAAACGGCTACAGATCCCAGATAAACGGCTACAGATCCCATATAAACGGCTACAGATCCCATATAAACGGCTACAGATCCCAGATAAACGGCAGCAGATCCCATATAAACGGCAGCAGATCCCATATAAACGGCCACAGATCCCAGATAAACGGCAGCAGATCCCATATAAACGGCAGCAGATCCCACATAAACGGCAGCAGATCCCATATAAACGGCAGCAGATCCCATATAAACGGCAGCAGATCCCATATAAACGGCCACAGATCCCATATAAACGGCCACAGATCCCATATAAACGGCCACAGATCCCACATAAACGGCCACAGATCCCACATAAACGGCCACAGATCCCACATAAACGGCCACAGATCCCACATAAACGGCCACAGATCCCATATAAACGGCCACAGATCCCATATAAACGGCCACAGATCCCATATAAACGGCCACAGATCCCATATAAACGGCCACAGATCCCATATAAACGGCCACAGATCCCATATAAACGGCCACAGATCCCATATAAACGGCCACAGATCCCACATAAACGGCCACAGATCCCACATAAACGGCCACAGATCCCACATAAACGGCCACAGATCCCACATAAACGGCCACAGATCCCACATAAACGGCTACAGATCCCACATAAACGGCCACAGATCCCACATAAACGGCCACAGATCCCACATAAACGGCCACAGATCCCACATAAACGGCTACAGATCCCACATAAACGGCCACAGATCCCACATAAACGGCCACAGATCCCACATAAACGGCCACAGATCCCACATAAACGGCCACAGATCCCAGATAAACGGCTACAGATCCCACATAAACGGCCACAGATCCCACATAAACGGCCACAGATCCCACATAAACGGCCACAGATCCCAGATAAACGGCAGCAGATCCCATATAAACGGCAGCAGATCCCACATAAACGGCAGCAGATCCCATATAAACGGCAGCAGATCCCATATAAACGGCAGCAGATCCCATATAAACGGCCACAGATCCCATATAAACGGCAGCAGATCCCATATAAACGGCCACAGATCCCATATAAACGGCAGCAGATCCCATATAAACGGCAGCAGATCCCATATAAACGGCAGCAGATCCCATATAAACGGCAGCAGATCCCATATAAACGGCAGCAGATCCCATATAAACGGCAGCAGATCCCATATAAACGGCAGCAGATCCCATATAAACGGCTACAGATCCCATATAAACGGCAGCAGATCCCATATAAACGGCAGCAGATCCCATATAAACGGCAGCAGATCCCATATAAACGGCAGCAGATCCCATATAAACAGCAGCAGATCCCATATAAACGGCAGCAGATCCCATATAAACGGCAGCAGATCCCATCTACCAGAATAAAGCCGCGTTTGTTCCACTTCACTCAGGACAAAACGGAACTTGAAACTGTTTCTTTCCCAAAGCTGTGAAGCTGGAAAGCAGCAGTTTGAAGGACCTTCAGGAAGTCTGGAGAACATCCAGATCACATGAAGATGTTACATCCTCTGCTGGTATCAGTTGCTCTGGATAAACAGCTCAGCGCCCTGAAGGAAACTGCCTTCACTGATGGTTTGGATCGCATTCCAGAGAAATCTTCTTTTGTTCTGCTGCAGCTTGTTTTATCAGCTCCAACTCTGAGCTATGGTCACATGAAGCTGCACAGAGTTTTTTTCTGTTCTTTTGTTTTTATCTGAAGCTGAATAATCAGCCGGTCGCTGCGTATCGCAGCAGAAAAGAAAACACATCTAGAGTCTGGACCAGTTCAGCTCACCTGCATGATCTCCACGATGGCCACCAGGTCGGCCAGAGACATGTGGTCTCCGCCGATGAACGGCTGGTCCTGGAGGAACTTCTCTTCGATCAGGTTCAGAGCGTTGTTCAGGTCCTCCAGGGCTCCATCCATCTTCTCCTTTGGAACTTCCACACCCATTACCTTAGGAAGCATAAGCTGCAAACAAACATTCCCGTCTGAGTCCAATTTTAACACTGATATTTCATTTTTGGCTAATATTAGAGACGCACAGATCTATTTTTTGTGATCCAATCCGATATCTGGGCTGAACATATCGGCCAAAATCCGATACCAGTCTGCTACGACTGTTGAATTGAATCATTTATCTTGCCATGAGAGTGAAGGTTTGGTATTAACATCAACAGTAAATTATATTTAACGCCTTCATTTTCTGTTCAGCCTGGGTTTTCATTTTTGAGATTTTCATGATCAACAGGTTTAAATGGGTGGAACATTATAGAAGCAGGAGCTGAAATCTGTTCAGTTTTCCCTCTTTTAACTAAAATGACGTTCCCTCCCCTGAACTCCCCCCCCTCTGTTCTCTCCGTCTAAAATCTGAACATGTTTGTGATTCCAAGTGATTTTTTTCCTCTATAGATGCAGCTGGACTTGCTGTGAAACTAATAGAAATAATGAAATATAATCAGAATCCACTGCTGGACACATTCTGTTCGGTTTGATATGAATTGGTTGGCATAACTATCAAATATAAAGTTAAAATTAAAGGAATCCAGTTCCAATATGGCCGACCCAGTAGAAAAGATGTACAGGTTCTGATGGTGAACGTACCCGCAGCCAGAACATCTTGGACCCGTACATCCGGATGCCCGTGTGCTGCCAGGACAGGTACTCGTTGATCTGAGCGCGGCGCTGGAGGTCGGCCGGGTACCAGAAGTCTGGAGTCTGGAACTTCTCAGCCAGATAGAGCATGATGGGGATGCTGGGGGGGGGACGGGTCGTTAGGGCCTCACGGGTCCACGGCTCGTTAAACGTTAAACATTTCAGGTCATAGTCACCTTTCACCCAGGCAGAAGTCTCCATCTCGCATTGCAGGAACTTTTTTGATTTTGCTGATCTTCCCAAACTGATCTCCATGCTGCTCACCTGGAACCAGAATCATCTCAGCGAAGCAGGAAGCAGCAAACAGGTAAAAACTGAGAGACCATCGCCTGCAGGATCGCTTTGGTTCTTCCCTTTATTATTAAACTGGACTTTTCCACTTCTCCATTTACAGCTTTTCCAGTTCAACCAGTACCTGATACGCCTGATTTAGATTCAGGGACGTGCACAGATGGACAGTAGGTGGCGCTAGAGCATCTGCCCTTTTCCCCTCTGGGAAAAAATGACCCAATTATTTTCTTTTTTCTGTTTTTAGTGTTTGACCAAAACTAACATTTAGGAATTTTAAATCCTGTCAAACAAAGTGACTGAATGTTTGTCATTTTGCTCCATGAGACGTGTAGCTCCGCCTCCACAGAGCGTTGCCATGGTGAAGGGCCAGCTAACCATCCAGGTAACTAAACAAGCTTATTTAGCTCCTTCACCAACTCGTCAGTTCACAGAATAATGTCTTTAATGGCGTCTACCAGCTGCCAAGGGACGGTTTAAAGTATCTCATAGATGTAATTATTGATTAGCTTTAATGGTTCCTGTCAGAGAAAACTACAGCGGAAAGGTTTCCTTTATTTTATTTGATTTTATTTTATTTACACATTTCATTTAAAATTGAAAAAAGGCCAAACAATCACAATTCAAAGAAATTACTTTAATAACGTTCTATTCAGTTAAAGTACTGTGTGTAGATTAAACTAAATTTTTATTTTCAGTGTTTATTGACAGACGTCTTAAAATGCCAAAAAAAAAGAGATGAAAATATTTAAAGTCATATTAAAGCGGCCGTTCCAACCGTTACATTTCTGAATTCTCCCAGTGGTGCCCGACTTTACAGAAGTGAATAAAGTGAATGTGATTGGTTGATTATCAAGGGGGCGGGATTGTTTTAGCGGAAGGTTCACAAGCCATTTTGGTTGAGGCCGGTTTGTGGGAAGCATCTTGCTAACCAGTTAGCATCTTAGTGCTAGCAGGTTCCCAATGGGAAATTCCATTGGGACCAAGTAGCACTAAATTGGTGCCTTAGAAACGACGCTGTCAAGGAACGCTATGGACAGCGGAAACATGCAAGAGGAGGAGAGTTTAGTGTCGGAGGTCGTGGATGAGTCTCCTCCGTCATCCATTTTTTATTTAGAGGAGGAAAGCGGGGACGAAGATGTTGTGGAAGAGGACGCCAGGGCGGCAGAAGCTTGGTTTGGTGTAGAAGGCTTCCAGCCGTACATGTTTGAGCCCTTGCCTCGCAACGCTGCCAGTTCTGTTAGCTCTACGCCTGCCGAAGACACAGGAAATGATCAATATCTCCTGATGAACATATACAGCCCTCACCTTTTTATCTGTACATTTAATTCTGACAGCAGGGAAAAATATTGTAATATATATTGATATTGCAATATCGCGATAATATCGTATCGTGACACGTATTGCATCGCAACAGCCATGACAAAACTAACCCATACATATTATGCACTTGAAGTAAGATAATATTTTTTTCATATTTTAAATGTATATCTTAGTTGATCCTCAGATTGCCATATAGATCCACCCAGATCAATGGAAAATAAACTTAAAGATATTCTGGAATCCTGGGTTTTCATCAGAGTCTATGTAGCTCAGAAAACTTTGAGTTTGTGACACATATTTATGGAAGACTTCAAGCAATAAAGCAATTATAACCAAGCCCCCGCATCAACCCCCCGGGAAGACAACATCGACCTTTTTACTCCGTCTTCAGAAGAAGAAACACTGCTGAAGGAATTGATTCATCACGCATTTAAAGACGTGATGACAGCAGTTTCCTGGAAACTAGAAGCAGCCATGTTTTACAGCCTAATTAGTTTCCTGCAACTCAGAGCAGGAAATTCATAGAAATCATCTTTCTTTCTTTAATGCTCTGGCTTTCAATTGGCTCCTTTTTTCACATAAATGAAATATTAGCCGATCCTTCTAGTAAAGATGCGTGTGGCTCTCAGTTCATAAGCATGAAGTTTGACGCGCTCCAATCTGTCGATTGTTTTTAAAGTGACTTTTCAATCCATCACACTTTTCTCCTCTTGTTATCTGATCGCAGTACGACGTGACGGGCAGATTACATCGGCTCATTTCTCTCTTTTTATGCCTCTTGAAAAGAACAACAAGCAGCAGCAGCAGCAGTCAGAAACTGTAAGGCTGAACCCCGGATCTCCCCGGCCCTGAAAGCCAACTCCAATATATTCCAGGTGCTGCAGCCTCACCTGTCTGTACTGAAGGGGCGGAGCCAGGAATCAGTTATCCACAGCAGCAAAAAATACAACTAAACAAATTCCTGATTTCAGAATAAAGTCAAAGTAAATTTCAAACCAAAATATTTCACGTTCATGTTTGTCATAAATTTGAGAAAAATAGTAAACTAGAAATAATCAAATACTTAAACGTAAATCAAGCTTTTGGCTCCAAAATGAAAGAATAAACTTAATCTATTTTATTGTTTTTCAGTGGATTTAATATTGGTATTTATTTAATTAACACCAATGTAGCATTGCTGCCTGTTGACTCCTGCCCCTAAAATATCTGTGCACGCCCCTGTTTACATGAACTTTTAATGCAGAAAGAAAAGCCAACAAACTAAATCAGGATTTTCCTGCTTTTCTAATTAGAATTTCTATATTTTTCAGGTCATATCGGGTTTCGAACCAGCAACCCTTGCAGCCAATCTGAACTCACCTTCCATCAGAGAAATCTTCTGGAACTCGAAGGGAATCTGGTTCTTCTTTGCAAACATATAAACGGAGCGACATGGCTGAGAGAAAAGGTCCAGATAAAGTTCCAGAGCCATGATCACTGCTAGTTATACTAGTTCTACTAGTTCTACTGTAACTAGTTCTACTGTAACTAGTTCTACTGCTAGTAGAGCTGCTGCTGCAGAGGAGCTGTCCGCTGGTTCTGCAGAAACTGAGATTTAAAAGAAAAAACAACCGGAAGTCCTGAGAGAAACTCCCACATTTTTTCAACATAAACTTTTAAAGGAAGCAAAAATAAACGATTAAGATTTTCAAACTAAACTCACAAAGCAACAAAAATGATTTTAAAAGATTTTTTTTTCTTTTTTATGAATTACCTGAGAATGAAAAATATTTCTGATTATAAACCCGCAGCTAAGTTTTGCAGAGTTTGTATAGATAATAATAAAGCTGCCTGTAGAAAATAGAAACCAGGACTTTATTCGTTCATTCCTGGTTTTTATTCTGAGGTTTTTTCTCTTGGAGGATCGCAGCTGAAGTTGGCTTCTGATTCAGGAAATAAATAAATTCATTTTTTCTTCCTTCAGCTTCTTTAATCTGCTCTAATTAAAAAACTAAAACACCTAAAAACATCTAACCTGGACTAGATTATTCTGAACTAGAATAATTCAAACCAGGTCTGGAATTTCTGCTGATTTGTGAAACTTTAATTAATTAAACCACATATATAATGCAGCCCCTCCTGCTCTGAAGTTTGTTCAGCTTTGTCTCAGATTGAAGATTTATTACAGAGAAAAATACACAACAGAGAAAGTTTTACACCTAACAAGGAATAATAGAGGAATAAAACATCAAATCCTCACTAATAAACTAAAATCAATGTTTAAACTGCTGTTATTTGCAGTGTTTTACTTTTTCCTTGTATTTTTATGCAATAAGATCAGATTCTGACATGTTTTCATATCTTCATCTCTGTGTGACTCAGTTTAATCCTCCTCTTCTCAGAAAAGCTGCAGGTTTCTGTCATTTATTCAGGTTTTAATAAGAAGGTACTGAATGTTTTCGTTCCATCTGCAGTAATGAGCTAAAAGCTCTGATGATGCAGTAAAACATCTGGATCCATCAGACCCAGGAAGCCTCCAGATGTTCAGTAGGAGACCCTCCTTCAGGCAGAAGGTCCAGATCTTCATCCAGTCCTGCTGCTTCAGTCTCCAAAGTATTGGATGAAGTTCTTCCATGATGCATCCAGGGATCTTTTTATTGCAGCCAAAACCGAGAAACTACGACCCCTGGCGTCCAGAAACCGGAACTACATTATTTCTAACATTTATTTTGCTGCTTTTTAACCTTTAAATGTTTGAACAGCCTAATACATATTTATTTATTTTATCAAATCTGATCAGGTTTAACAGATTAAATCAGAAGCAGATCTGATAGAGGAACCAGTCTGCAGTAGTGGAACGTTACTGGGAAGGAACTGGAGCAGCTGTAGTGAGGCGCAGTAGTGAACTAGAAGGTAAAATCACGGCTGAAGTGAAGGATGATGGGTATTTAGCATCTGGATCATCTGCTTCCATCACAGATGCTCCTCCCACCTTCTCTGGTCCTCCATCTTCTCCTCTCACATTAACTTCATTAAATACTGAGATCTGCAGCAATAAAGACGACCATCGTTCAACATTTTGTCTTTATTTCATCTACAGGAAAAGAAATCGAGCCCAGAGCTGATCGGCTCCAGATGCTCCGACCCTGATCAACCATCAAACCTATAGACCCGTTTCAGATGGAATCAGAACCACCTGGTTCTGGATCAGGAGGAAGGTTGAACATCAGCTAACAGAACGTTTATTTGGGCCCAGTCCGCTCAGATCGGTGCGTCTGTGGAATGAGGTCAGGGTCCAGGTGTTCTGCCGTTTGGACCGCCGTTCTTCACAGGAAGCTCATCACGGTTCCCTTCTTCCCGACCTGGTGAGGCTGCAGCTCGTGGAACTGGATCACAATCCTGCAAACGAGAAAAAATCCTACAGTCATGAAACAGGTTGAGCAAACCGTCTGTGGCAACAGGAAACCGTCTGCGGAAACAGGAAACCGTCTGCGGCAACGGGAAACCGTCTGCGGCCACGGAAAACCGTCTGCGGAAACAGGAAACCGTCTGCGGAAACAGGAAACCGTCTGCGGCCACGGGAAACCGTCTGCGGAAACAGGAAACCGTCTGCGGAAACAGGAAACCGTCTGCGGCCACGGGAAACCGTCTGCGGAAACAGGAAACCGTCTGCGGAAACAGGAAACCGTCTGCGGCCACGGGAAACCGTCTGCGGAAACAGGAAACCGTCTGCGGAAACAGGAAACCGTCTGCCTGCGACAGGAAACCGTCTGCAGAAACAGGAAACCTTCTGCAGAAACAGGAAACCATCTGCGGCCACGGGAAACCGTCTGCGGCCACGGGAAACCGTCTGCGGAAACAGGAAACCGTCTGCGGAAACAGGAAACCGTCTGCGGAAACAGGAAACCATCTGCGGAAACAGGAAACCGTCTGCGGAAACAGGAAACCGTCTGCCTGCGACAGGAAACCGTCTGCAGAAACAGGAAACCGTCTGCCTGCGACAGGAAACCGTCTGCAGAAACAGGAAACCCTCTGCAGAAACAGGAAACCTTCTGCAGAAACAGGAAACCCTCTGCAGAAACAGGAAACCCTCTGCAGAAACAGGAAACCATCTGCGGCCACAGGAAACCGCATGTATGACGTCATCCCATTAGCTAGAATGAATAGAAGGGGTAGAGCGAAGCTGCCTGCTGTGAGGTACTTTGGTTAAATAAAGCTTAAAAAAAAAAAACTCCAGTCCAGCGCAGTGATGACGTCATACACATTCTGCTTTGTTTTTAAAAGATATAAATATATAAAATAATCTAACGGCGGATGTCTGGGGGCCAGTGATTGGCCTCCATGTTCTGAATGCTGGCGTACCATAAAGAATAAATGATGAACAGTTTAGTTTGTGCCTTCAAGTCGTTGCCCATAGGAAGACGTTACTGGATATAACCTAACGGAATATCTTCAGAACGGCTCCAAATGACACTAAACTCATATGGGGGAGTAGAACATGATGGAATAACGGAAAATCAAGGACCCAATGGAAAGAAAAACAGCGTTCCCCTTTAATTAAACAGTCTAGTTTTAGGGAATATAGAAGAATTATGCTCTAATATATTTTAATTTGACAAACCGGATCTTCAACATTCTTTTTCCTGTTTGTTGCGATTGCATTAGCGGATCCTGACCTGATCGGACCCGAGCGGAGTCAGAAATAACTCGGCACCGTATCTTGATGGTGGAGGACGGAGACGTGCGGAGGAGTAGCGGTGGATGTGGAACAGCTCTCATTGATCACAGACAAGTACTCTGCAGGACGTACATGAGCGGAGCGCTGATGGAGGGTGTGAAATCTGGGGGTTAGAAATCAGGCCAAACATTATGACCATCGGACCGGGATTCTGTTCGGCTCAGATTCTAAAAACAGCTGAAATTCCTGACAAACCTCAGAAGGACAAAAACATTTTATTTAAAGACTGAATGAAAATCCTGAACTCTGAAATTAGACAAGGAAGAAAGTTGGAAGTTTGAAAACAGAAAGGTCCTGATCAGAGAGCCACAGGAGGAGCTGGGGGGTCTCAGGGGGCTGCAGCCCTGCACGTCCATGGAAGGTTGAGTGGAAGGAAAAAATGTGGAGGAACAGAGGCAGAAGAAACACAGAAAACCACCGAGCGGACCAGGTACCCACCCGTCCCCAGGAAGGCCCTAATATTTAATCATCACCATGGTAACGCCAGAAATGGATCCACCAGAACCGACCGTGCTAAAGGCCCATAAATGGACCAGAGCTTCCTGAGGACCTGAGCAGAACCGCAGGTTGATCTCCTGCAGGCCCACCGAGAAAAAACATATGGGGTAGAAAAATCTAGAAAATATCAGAATCACTGGGAGGTTTTAGGTAACAGAGGATCCTAAAGGTCAGCGGGGTCAACGACGGAAACACAAGCCACATCCTACAGAGAGTCCTCTAGATCTAGAGTTAATAGAACACAGACTCACCTGTCCTCAGTCAGACCCAGCTCTTTGGTCAGGAAGCTGAAGATCTTGGCGCTGTGCTCCTTGTTCTTCTCGGCGCTGTCCGTCACAGAGATGGCCGACACGGACAGCACCACGCATGGCGAGCAGGAGCCGTTCATCAGCATGGGCAGACCCGGATGGACCACCACGTTCATCCTCTGGGACATCCAGAAGAAAACAGAACCGGTCAAGATCCCAGACCCAAACGGAGCAGCTCTATTATTCCCATTGCCTTTAACATTTCTAAGGAAACCAGCAGGTTGAATCCAGTCGCTGACTCTCAGGATACTGGATGCGGCGACAGTGGGGAGGAAAAATATATCAGATCTGATTACAGAGATCTGATTGTTCTTAACGGAGCCCTTTGCTCTCAGAGATATAGTGATGCTGCTATAGGCTTAGACTGCTGGAGGACATAGGGACCCTTTTCATCATTCCATCTATGCTTTGTTCTCATGAACCAGAACCAATCAGATCACAGCATCCCTCTGTCACTGAGTGGGCTGCTTTGGTTCCTCTGAGTGAGGCGGCCCGTTAGAACCGAACAGAACCAGAACACTGCGGTACCAATGAGTATGATGATGATACCACGGCCGGAACCAATGGCACCGTAACGCATGGCCGCGGGAAGCGGGGATGCTGGAGCACCCTCTAGTGGTGGGAGGGAGATTTTCTAAGAAAATTATTAAACATACTTTGCAAAATTTATAAATATCTTATAAATATTTTAGGAAATTATTCACTTTTTAAAATTTTTCCCATAAATTTGGATTTTATTTTAATTATTTTGAGGCCTAATCAACACAAGTTCAGGAAACTGAAGTTGTCACGGCAACATCAAGCAGGCTAGTGGTCGGTGAGTAAAGAGGCATCCCGCTCGCTGCAGCAGACTCATAAATGAACATAATCTGACAGAAACCAGGAGGAAATACGGCTCAGAAACGCCAGTGAAGAACTCTGGTACCGTAACCATGGCAACGGAGAGCAGCCAGTGTGAGGAGACCGTCCGCCGCCTCTGATGGCAGTGAGTTTAATTAATAGTGCATATATTCGCCTGATGATGTCTGTGTTACAATAAAATAAAGAATCTAAATCTATTTAATTTATTTATTCTATTTTAAAACAGGCTTCAGGCTCAGAGGCCTTTAGTCCAAAAAAACTAAAACATTTTCACGGCACCTCCTGTTCAAAATGGCTTCCAGCGGCCCAAAGAAGCAGCGCCAGAACCCTGGTTCTGCTGTTAGCAGAACCCTGGTTCCCTCATTCAGTCCAACCAGAGGTCATCCATCTCTGGACCGGTCCAGAACAGGACCAGAACCTAAGCAGAGAGGATCAGGACCAGACTGACGACCTAAAGGCGGCGCAAAGAGGACCAGAACCAAAGGTCCAAACATCGACAGCTGTCTGTAGACAGAACATTTAGAGATAAACGGATCAGAACCAAAACGGTAGAATGTTTCTTCTCTTGGTACAGAACTGGACTTTGTGGACCGAACCGGTCTCTAAGGACAGAACCGGTCTCTAAGGACAGAATCCGTCTCTGTGGACTGAACCGGTCTCTAAGGACAGAATCCGTCTCTAAGGACAGAACCTGTCTCTTGGGACAGAACTGGACTTTTTGGACTGAACCGGTCTCTAAGGACAGAACCCATCTCTGTGGATAGAACTGGACTTTGTGGACAGAACCGGTCTCTAAGGACAGAATCCGTCTCTGTGGATAGAACCAGTCTCTAAGGACAGAATCCGTCTCTTGGGACAGAACTGGATTCTGTGGACCGAACCGTCCATCTCTGTGGCGCCGCCCTGAAGGTCCGATTCTGACCAGGACCTCTGGGTTCTGCAGATCTGACGGTTCTTGGAACGCTCTGGTTCTGGAGACAGAAGATTGAGAAGAAGGTTCTGGAGAAAGTTCAGATCTGTTGGACCTTCCTCTGAACAGTTTATGTAGAAAAGTCTTTTTTTCTACTAAATTTTTCCACAGAGAGCAAACAGAACCAAAGTCCAAACCCCAGCCTCTGGTTCTGATCGCTCTGACGGTCACTGTCCTCTTGTGCGCGTTCCCGCGAGATTTAAATGTCGGGGCCGCTTTTAACGAGACAACACCGGCCGATGTTCTGGTTCTGTCCGGGCTCCAGCGGGGGTCGGTCCGGTCCAGGTGACCCGGCGGGTCGCTCACCTCCTCCGGCTTGTTTAGAGCCGCGGCGCAGATGGAGCAGAAGCTCCGGAGGAAATCCTCCGAGAAGCAGCCGGAGGCCAGGTTGCTCTGCAGGTCGATGAACGGCATCTTCACTTTAACTTCTGCCTCGGTCCAGCAGAACTGACGTCACCTCAATGACAGACTTTGATCTCAGGAGGATTCCGCTTCCGGCTCTACCTTTCAAAATAAAGCGCAGAAACGACCTGAGATGTTTTTTATTGATTATGAAATTCAATTATTTATCTGAGAGATATTCTAATATTGGTTCTGATTCATTCAGCTTTCCTACCGCAGTCTGCGCACGTGCGCTTTACGCAGGTTCACTTGACGCGTCATATGACGCTGCTTCCGCTCAAATATAAAGCAGGTTGAAAGAAGAATAAACAGGCAGCCGCCTCATTGGGCGCCATCTTGGGTCAGACCACAGTTCAGACAAGTGAGATAATATTACAATAACTAATTCTAAAACATAAATATATAATATATGACACAGATTAACTGATTAAAGAACAAATGTTCCCATTTGCATAAATAATGATAAAATAAAGTTTGAAAAATAGTTTTGGAAAAAGTTTAGACGAATTTATAAAGACAAAAAGCTTTTAGTTAGACACAATGTAAACTTACCATTCACTACGATTTGACAACAAAGTCTTCACAATGACAATAAATAAAATTAACATAAGATTAATAAAACAAAATAACTTTACTCTTTCACATTAGTTTCCTCTATAGATCATAATACTCATCAAAGAGCAATCATTTAAAATACTGAATAATTATAATATACTATATAAATATATAAAATATGTAAAACATAATCTTATCATATAATAATATAAAACGTAGTGTTTATCATATTAATATTTAATTGCAAAATATATAACTTTGCATAAATCTCATCCAGTTTGACTTCAGTTTAATCTGAATAAATCTGTGTAATCTAACTAAAAGGTAATCTTAGAATTTGCTTTGTTATTTTTAAGGAATTATGAAATGAAAGAGATTCTTGTAATATTATGTCTGACTGATTAAAATCAGATCTAAGGCGCCTCCTGCTCATTCTGACAGCAGCTGTCTGACTGTGGTCTGATCCAAGATGGCCGCCCTCGGCCAGCGTCCAATGAGGCGTCCGCGTATAAAATGTCTGTGGAGGGAAGGAAACCTGCGAATGGATAGAACAAAACTGAAAGTTTTGATTAAAAAACACACAAATCAAAATAAATCAACGTTTCAGCAGATTTTTATATCTTATGATACAAAACCGAATATTAGGAAGTAGATAGATGAAAATAGATCAAGTAAATGATTTTATTTTTGAATTGCTGACAGATGGTCTGACTTTTAAAATTCAGATGAAAAACGTCATCAAATGTAAAAAAAAAAAAATTAGAGGCGTATAATCTGAATTATTGAAAGTTATTTTGTTTGTTTTCATGCATTATTGCCATTATTTAATTAACCCTCTGATCTTTGCTGCACATAATATAACCTGGCACATGGTGGCGCTGTCCTCCATACCGTAGCATTAATAAAGCGTTGATCTAATATCGATTATAGTTTAAACTCATTAATCTTTTCTTTCTCATATCTGATGAAAATCTGTGAATTTCTAGGAGATAAAATCGAATTAATCTTAAAATGTTTTATTGAATCAAACTGAAATAATGAAGCTGCTGTCAGATGAAATAGATCCGGTGAGAAACTCAGTAAATAAATCAAACATAAAAGTTTATTATCCTGATTTGTAAAAAAAAAATGCCTTAAAGTTTGGCTGATTTTCTGTATCTGTGGATTAAGTCGGATTAAATAAAAAAATGCTGAAAGTCCGTTTAAATTCATTGTTTCCTCTTCAGCCAATCATAACAGGCTAAAGTTGGAGTATAAAAAGGTGCACAGTAATAAACTATGACCCCCGTCCGCGCGCCTCATTCATCCAAACGCAGCTCTGTGGCGCATCTCCTCCCAGCTCTCATCAGGGGATCTTTCTTCCTCCTTACCTGAAAAACGCGACCAGCTGAGGAGATGCTTCTGTGCCGGACTGCGCTCTGCTTCAGCCTTTTGGCCGCTCTGGTTCCAGCGGTTCTGAGCGAGCAGGAGGCGCAGCAGCAGCCGCCCTCCGCCGCCAGCCTCCCGGACGCGGAGCAGTGCCTCACCTGCGAAGTGCGGCAGCACATGAAGACCATGCGGCTGAACGCGATCAAGTCCCAGATTCTGAGCAAGCTGCGGATGAAGGAGGCTCCGAACATCAGCAGGGACACCGTGCAGCAGCTGCTCCCCAAAGCGCCGCCGCTGCAGCAGCTGCTCGACCAGTACGACGTGCTGGGAGACGACAGCAGGGATTTGCTTCTGGAAGAGGACGACGATCACGCGACTACAGAGACAGTGATGATCACGGCCTCTGAACGTAAGTCTGCATTTGGGTTCAGGTCCGCGGGTGGAAAACTCAGCCTGTGCGTAAAAACCTGGTTTTACCAACTTTTACGCACGAGATGAAAAAATAACAATCTCACCCACAGAAATGCAAACACACATTTTTGCATTGAACGTGGAGTTTTGCATATTTTGGTCATTATTTTTTACATTTTCTAAGCAAACCTGTTTACTATAGATCTTATAAAGCAATAAAATTGTTTCTTGGACTTTTTATGCGTAAAACCAGGTTCTATGTGCCAGAACTGGAGAAGGAGCGTTTATTATGGCATCACCTGGAGTTTTTTTAGTTTTTTTGGTGGATAAAGGTTTTATAAAACAAGAAATAAAGGCTGTTAAATGTGACTTTTTCAAGACAAAAACGTGACGGATTCTGCGCCTGTTTAGATCATAAAACGATGTTCCCCCCTCCATAGGAGTGACGGCAACCATCTATGTTTGCGTCATACTGATATTATGATATAAATGGATTTATTAACAATCTTGAAACAATTGTCTTTATGTTTTTAAGCCTATAAAAATACATTATAGTGAAGTGATTAACTTAGTTTTACGCACAAAATGCTGCAATAAAAGCCGTTAAATGTTTGCGTTTGAAGGATTTTCTGGGTGATGATGGATAATTTATATTTATGATTAAAAACTGTATTTTTGCTTATTATCTTATGGATTAAAAATATATATATATATTAACTTTTACATGTATATGGTAAAAAAAAAACTGCAAGAAGAATCGACAAAAACAATAAAACATAATGACAATCCGTCACTTGATGGATGAGGAGCCATAAAGGCGCAGAAGTGAAAATAAAACCTAATTTCCTGCAGATGAAGCTCAGCTCCAACTCAGAAATGTTCCTCTTTGCTGGACCTGGAGCTAAAAGCATGAACTCGGTTCGGTTCGGATTTAGTCTGAAGGACCAGAAGTTCCAAACTGTAAATGTTTTCATCTCTGGTTTGTTTTAATTAAAGGTTCAATCTCATTTCATTATTCCCCCCCCTCCCTGTTTGTGCAGCCAGCTCTGTGGTGCAGGTGGACGGCCATCCAAAGTGCTGCTTCTTCTCCTTCATCCAGAAGCTGCAGGCGAACCGGATCGTCCGCGCGCAGCTCTGGGTCCACATGCGTCCCGCCAGAGAAGCGACCACCGTCTTCCTGCAGATCTCCCGCCTCATGCCGGCCACGGAGGGGAAGAGGCACATACGGATCCGCTCCCTGAAGATCGACGTCAGCGCCGGGGTCAGCTCGTGGCAGAGCATCGACGTCAAACAGGTGCTGGCGGTGTGGCTGCGGCAGCCGGAGACCAACTGGGGCATCCAGATCAATGCCTTCGACTCCACGGGGAATGACCTGGCAGTGACCTCTGCAGAGCCTGGAGAGGAAGGACTGGTGAGTTTACCTGGCAGGGGCGGGTTTAGGAAATGTGGGGCCCTAGGCAAAGACAGGCAGGGGCCCCTCTGAATAGAGAAGCCAACACATAGAACAGCCCCATTCTCCAGATGTAGAAATGTTAATAGAATAGCCATCCATTATCTGTTCTAGGTTGTGTCCCTCTCTTCTTGTCCCTTTTCTTCTTGTTTTCCTCTCTATGTTTTGTACTCAGCTGACTTTTCATGCTGTCTCTAAAGGAATGAAAGATTTTTTCCAAGCACTAAGCTCACTTAGCTGATTGCTCCTTCCTGTGTTTCCAAAAAGGCCAAAGTAAATAACCCAGTCCTTCTTTTCACTGTAGACAAGCCATGATCTGCTTATCTGTTCTCCATTTTTCATTTGGATGAAATAATAGCTGCATGAATCATGACAGCAGACAAGATAGAGGAGAGCAGGAGGCGGGGTTACCAATCTACTCGCTCTGGAGAGCAGAGTTCGCTGCTTTTAGATGTTGTCTCCAAAGTCTCCAGTAGCAGAAAAAAGTCTCTAGATTTGGCGCTAGGAGCTTTTTAGAAATCAAAGTGCTAGAGGGGTCTGAAAAGTGGCTAAATATAGCGACTAAAGCGCTAAGTTGGCAACAGTGCTCTTTGCATGGTTTGTTTTCAAATGGTTTGCTGCTGTCTGTTTGGACCTTTCTGAACATGTGCAGCAAATGGACTGATCCAATATGGTGGACACTGAAGGGGGGGCTGAGACACACTTAATATTATCAGCGTTCTGATGGCATTTTAGCCAAAGGATTTTTATCAAAAACATAATTAATGAGCAGAAATAATGAATAGTTGCATAAACCATACATGGAAACAGAGTTTTATTGGGCCCCCAGGAACTTGGGGCCCTAAGCAGCTGCCTAGTATTGCCTAATAGTAAATCTCCCCCCCACCAAGTGAGTCCAGGTCCGCTTCTCGCTCTCCTGCCGGTTCGGTTCAAGGTTCAGTCCTTCCTGGAGCCTCACGGCTCTAAACCCTAAAAAACTGTAAAAAACGTAATTTTTTTTCAGGTAATAATATCTGAAGTTTGATGATTAAAGCTGAAAATATGTTTTTTATTTCAAGGAACTCAAACCGAGAAAGTTTGACTCTTTCCAGACAAAAAAACTGAGTAAATACAAAAAAAGTTTTATTTATCAAAGGAGAAAAGCAATCCAGAGGTAGCTGACGCTGTGTAGAAACTAATCCCCCCCTAAGCCTGATAACTAGTCGCTCCTCAGCAGCAGCAGTTGAATGTTGAGAGAAATCAGATCATTTCAGCTCAGACCAAAGCACCTCGGGTGGATTTAAGTTCAGGCTTTGACTAGGCCACCTGAAAGCCTTCCCTCTCCTGATCTCCACCTCTGAATGGTTCCTTTGTTTGCCGACAGTCATTCAGGTGCAGGAGGAGTGAACCACTACCAAGCCACCATGCTGCCACCACCACTCTGACACAACCTGCACAGTTTTTACATCAACATAAGTAAAGGAGACAAACTGTGTCCGGTCAGAACAGGGCTGATTACTGGACCTAAGGGGCCGAATTATGAACTGTTCTCTCTTTGCAAAGATAAGAAAATAAAGAACCAACTGAGTGAAATCCATCGATCTCCGTTTACTTAACTGGGGTGAATGGTTGAATACTTTTTTCCCACGACAGAAGATTTCGTTTGTTGTTTACAGTTCTTATTCTCCTGTTTTGTGGCGGTTGGCAGCAACTTCCTGATGTGCATTACCACCAACTACTGGCTGACCGTAAGCAGCTGACCCGGTCTGCGCATGCGCTCTTTGCTATCAGAGAACCGAGCCAGAACCGAACCAGGGTTCTGTCAGACCCGCATAATCAATACACCTGCACAACATGTCAGATTTGCATTTATCGCTTTAGTTTTGTACCAAAAATAGACTTTAAACTACATAAACAGGCGTGTAAAACGTTTTAAGCCGAGATCGCCATACGCTGCAAAAAACAGCAAAAACTAAGTAATTTGATTTGTTTAGTTTTTTTAACTAAAGGGAAAAACTTAATTGAAGCTCAACAGGTGTCTCAGATGGCGCGCTCCCATCACTCTCGGCAGTTTCAGCTGGGTAGAGAAAATCCAGCAGGTTTCATCAGATGGACTTTATATCAGAAAGGCCAGTTGGTTCCCAGGAAGTAGGACTGAATCGGTACCCAGATCATTTCCTGTTTTTATTCAGTTGATCTTTATTTGTGACGTTTATCTGTTAAATGTTCAGCTTAGAGTTAGACGACAGTGTTCAATCAGCTGAAGGGGGGAAGGACGGCTCTGAAGGTTTCCGTACGAACCGGAGATTTCCAGGAAAAACGGGAAATAAAAGCGGCTTCTGCGACTTTTGTTCACTTTATGTTTTGTTGCTGTCTAAAGAAAGAAGATTGCTGCTTCCCAGAACAAGGCTGATATCGCCTCAGCAACCGGTGACTAAGCAGGTTTTTCTCTCTGCCTCCATGAACTCTGTTTACTGCTGCTTAAATTAAAAGAAAAGGGAGAATTTGATTAAAACAGGCAGAAAACTAAAAATGATTCACTTAAACCTAGAGTTCATTACGCAGCATACAGGAGGAGGCCGACCGGCTTGGATCTTGGATAAAATGTGTCCAGAAATGAAGTTTGACAGTAGAAAAGTCTTTTTGTTCAGGAAGTGGCTCTAATTCACAACACGTCATCTCAGGTCACTTTACTGACACCATTTTATCAGATCATGCAGTTAGACTGGATAAAGCTGGATAAAGCAGTGAGTCCAGTGTTTTATTGTCATTAATACAATAATCACAAATACAGAGGAACGAAAGTTACCCAGTGGGCTGCCATTATATCTCTACCATCATACGGTGCAGTTTGGGGGGGGTTAAGGGTCTTGCTCAGAGTGGCAGTCTGTGGCGGTGGGACTTGAACTCAGAACCTCAGGATTTAAAGCGCAATGCCCAAAGGCCACCACTGCCTAAGGACTCACACTGATACGGACCCAGGCTTCCTGTTAGCAGGACGGATGACTTACCTCTTGAGCTAGCCAGCCACACTACACAGCAATCCCTCGCACAGAGCAAGGATGCAGCAACAGTGGAGAGGAAAAACTTCCAGCAGAACCAGAAAAGCTAACGCTAAACTAGCTCCATGGTGGCTCTGTCTGGGAAAGAAACAGTTAATAAGATGAGAGCACATCCAGTTAGTCAGTCAGAGAAACAGGACTACACTGGAAAACAGGCTGATCTCCAACATCTAGAAACAAAGGTTATTCAGAGAGAGCAGAACGTTAGAGATTGAACTAACAGATTCTGCAGAGTGGGAGAATAGAGATAGAATGAAGCAGAATGATGAAAAAGGGGTCCCTATGTCCTCCAGCAGTCTAAGCCTATAGCAGCAGAACTATAGAGATAGATCAGGATAACCTGAGCCACTCTAACTAGAAGCTTTATCAAAAAGGAAAGTTTTAAGCCTAGCCTTAAAAGTAGACAGGGTGTCTGCCTCACGGACTAAAACAGGTAGTTGGTTCCACAGGAGAGGAGCCTGAGAACTAAAAGATCTGCCTCCCATTCTACTTTTAGAAATTCTAGGAACCACTAGTAAACCTGCAGATTGAGAGCGAAGTGCTCTGTTAGGAACATAAGGAACAATCAGATCTCTGATATCAGATGGAGCTTGGCCATTTAAGGCTTTATATGTGAGAAGGAGGATTTTAAATTCAGTTTTATTTTTGGCTGCTGTGGCTCTCTAGAAAACATATAAACAGAGATTAAAAGCCGGGCCCTGAACAAAAGCGTAGAGTTTGGCCTTCCAGTGAGTTCAGGCTCTGCAGACTCAGCGGGAGGCTAAACCTTCCAGCTCCTCCCTGCTGGATGAAGGAGTCAGGAAAGAAAAGACTTTTGAATTCTGTTAATCAACACAGACTTCATGGAGGCGCTCGCCTCCATTTGGACCAACGCCCAGCTCACAGTGACTCTAAAACTTATTGCCTGATTACATAAAGGTTCAGGCGCTCTACATTCCTCGCAGCATTCTGTGTGACTGTGCTAATCAGAGTAATTGCCTGCACGCACACACTGCCATTGATGACAAACAGAAATCACGCAGCTGGGGTCCTGGAGCAGCTAACCAACCATCTGATGATTTAATTCCTCTAAAAGTCAGAGTTTCGTCATATTACCGTGACATGTTTGAACACTAGCAGCCAAAAGGTCGAATGCTGACTGTGTCCTGTCGTTTCAGAGACCCTTCGTGGAGATAAAGGTTTCAGAGGGCCCCCGGCGAGTCCGGAGGAACTCGGGTCTGGACTGTGATGAAAACTCTCCGGAGACTCGCTGCTGCCGCTACCCGCTCACCGTGGACTTTGAGGCCTTCGGCTTCGACTGGATTATTGCCCCCAAGCGCTACAAGGCCTACTACTGCTCAGGAGAGTGTGAGTACATGTACCTGCAGAAGTACCCGCACACTCACCTGGTCAACAAGGTCAACCCTAAAGGGTCCGTGGGCCCCTGCTGTACCCCCAGCAAGATGTCCCCCATCAACATGCTCTACTTTAACCAAAACGAGCAGATCATCTACGGAACAATCCCCGACATGGTGGTGGACCGCTGCGGATGCTCCTGAGTTCAGGGCCCCTCGCCCTCCTCCCCATCTTCCACCCCAGACTTTCTGACCCGAACCGATCCACCTGATCCCACGCTCCTGCAGAAAAACCGTCTCCCTGCAGGGCGGCGCCTTCACCACCAGCATATTGTAGCTCTAACTTCCTGCCAAACTTTAACCATCGAGGCTTGAAGCCGGAAGGCTGCAAGAACCGAAAACCACCCGATGGATCTCAGAACCGACGAAGGTGGAAACGATCCAAGTTAACCGAACATTTCTGTATTTCCGTCTCCTGCTCCATAACCGACTGTCCTCCTGCCATGGCCCTTACACATTAACACACCCGCTTCTAAGCTTCGCTATGTTTGTGAGGACCAGTTAATGAGTCAAGTCTTCCTCTCCGACAGCTCAAGACCCACCGGTGAGACATTTCACCCCCGATACATCGCTACCAACACTAGAACGTTCAGAAAACCACCAAACCAGAGCCCAACAATCCGTTTTAGCTCATAACTTGGCTTTTCATCAGAGGCCGGCTCTGGTATCCGGTTAGAAGCCCGGCGCACGTGAACGGTCCTGATTGTAACTTCCCCTCTCTAGACGGAAGGACTGAGGAAGGCAGCCTGAGGAAGAGGAGAGGAAATGTGTGAATGTGGAGATGGTGTCTTACAAACAACAGTTTGCACTATGGCACACCAATGGGACGAGTTGGTTGCTACAAAATGAAGTTGTAAAAACTGATCTTGATATGTTTGATAATTTGTGTTGTGTGCAGTTGTTTCCGTTGGGAGGAGTCCTCCTTGGCCACCGGTGGTGAGTGTATAAAACCACAATGTAGCAAATAAAACATGTTATACAGAAAATATCTACTTATATTCAGCAAATAAAGTCTTTAGCTTGTTTGTTGACTTCTGTGTCTTTTTCAGGTTTGTTTCACTTTTTCAATAATAAGAAAATCTTAATTATTATAACATATTCAAGAAATCTGAGCCTTTATCTCCAGTTCAGTGTCTCTAAAATGTTGTTTGCAGCTTTTGTATTAAACTGATATTCAATAAAATCCTCAGGTGTGAAAGAAGTCCTTTTAATGACGGGAAAATCGAAGAGCGCCTTGTCATTGTTGTTACATCGCAAAAAACTTCAGGGTTTGTTGTGAAGCAGAAGGAAAATGTCTGGTTCTCCTGCTGGAAGGGAATGTCCACCTTAAGCCTGGTTTAAGCTCAGACTCAGAAACCAGGTCGTCTGCGTGTGTGTCGCAGTTAATGCACATATGCACCCCCCCTTTCTGCAGACTCCGGATTCCGCAGGCGGTCTCTGATTGGTCACTTCTACATCCGCTCTACACTATGCATATTTCCTGTTTGGTACCTAATGGCGGAAACTCTGGCTGTGGTGCCGTCCACAACGCCTGGCACACCTCGGACACTATCCCAGACACCGTGCAGGACACCGGTTTGTAGGTCTGTGCGACTTCTGTTGGTTTGAACCCGAAGCCAAAAGACGCAGCGCCACGGCCAGTCTTTGGGGAACACTCACGGGTGAACTGTGTGTCGTCCGGCGTTGGATGAGTGCTTGTAGACGGCGAACAAGCTCATCAAACTGACACACAGACACCCACAATCCTAGCTACTTCCTGATTGGCCCTCTGGCGTTGTGACGTGGAATAACAGCGCAGACCACGCTTAAAAATTGGGCATCTAAAATATCTGCGTCATACCTGCGACAAGCTAACTGTGACACACTGCTGCGGGAGGATAACCAGCTCTTTAGCCTCAGGTCCTCTGGAGCCTCTAACAGCCTCTCTTCCAGGGTTAACCTGGTGTAGCTCCATACTAGCTTCCCACAGCCTTATTCTGCCACCACCATGTTTCACTGTGAAAATGGTGTTATCGGATCAGAGACTTTACTTCCTCATGTTTGTCGAGTCTCCAAATTCCTTCCATTAAAGCCAGTTAGTCGCCCCGTGGACAGATCCTCCCACCCGAGTCTCCCTGGACCTTTCTTCTCTGATCAATGCTCTCCTCCTCCAGCCTGTCAGTGTAGGTGGACCTCTGAGCCCTGGTGGCTCTGCAGGTTGTCCACGCTCTGTTTGATGATGGTGTATAGATCAGAGGCAGATCGTTCTAGAACCTAAGCCAGCTTCACACAGAACCAGAACCTCCTCCCAGACGCTACTGGGTCTTCATGTTGCTGGATGTCGTCTAAAGAAGCTCTGAGGCCAGAACATCTGGACTCTGGTTCTGTTGAAAGAAACTGGATTTTATTTTCATGAATGAAGGAATTCTGACACAAACGTTTCCAACACTCGGTTGATTCTTTTGATGTGTTGAAAACGATCAAACTCAATTTTTTCCTTCTTCTTCACATTGTGTTTCAGACCAGTATACAGTCAATACGCAGCACAAGATGTCAGATTTGCATTTATCCCTTTAGTTTAGTATGAAAAATAGACTTTAAACTACCTCAACGGGCGTGTTTCCCTTTAGTCACGTACAAAGACAAAAATATTTAAGGTCAGATTGCCATACGCTTCACCAAAAAGCAAGTAATTAAATTATGTTGTACACGACTAAAAGGATACACACCTGTTGAGGTAGTTTAAAGTCTATTTTTCGTGCAAAAATAAAGGGATAAATAGGTACTGACGATGGGTATGCTGGTCTGACCGGGTATGCTCATCTGACAGAACACCATCACAGAAAATCTTTATTAAATAGAAAAAGGACAAAGGGTTTAAGGGGTGTGAATACTTTTGTAATGTTCTGCACAGCATGAATTCCTATCAGTCCAACTGCAATGAGGTTGAAAAAAAAAAAACTTTAACAGATTGAATTAAAGCTGCTGATTTATTCTGATATTATAACTGAAGTTCATTCAAAAGTTGATGTTGAAAAGATGTAAACCCAAACTAACTTTAGTTCAGACAGTTTTATCAACACATACAGTAGAAAACCTCCCAGGCAGGTTATTCTGTGAGCAGAGAGCAGGAAAACTAAACCAACACTAAATGATTGGAAATAAGATGATTGACTTTACTTTGAAGTGTTACATAGATTTACTGCTATGTTTGCAGTTTTTGGGAGAATAACGCTGAACTGATTGTCTTGGACATTGAAGACAGTGTCCAAAGGGAAGACAGTGTCTTCAGTGTCCAAAGGGAAAAGGTTCCCATCTTGAGCCCGTTTCCCTGATGCAGCCTTTTCCCAGTGAGGACATGTTGAGAGTGCTGCAGTCTAATGAGAGGATGTGAACCGTGGAGCGCTCTGACAGCATGACCTATTCCACTGACGGCCTCATTGAGGCCTGGCTTCCGCCCAGTAGAGGGCGAATGCAGCTATGCCTGTGAGAGCCACTTCCTTTCCTGCTGAGAGCTGGAAAACTGCCATGGAGATCGGCCACAGCGCAGAGCAGGCACCGGGCAGAGTGGATCCACAGAGCCTCTTCCCCCCCCCCCCAGTGGTGGGGGGCAGGGGGGTTAGAGACTCTGGCTTCTGCTTGCTCTGAGTTGCTTCGGGATAAACTGGAAATAAAAGGCTCTTACAATCTATGGACTAGAGGAGGACACAAACACAAACTTCTCTATTTGCTGTCTGCAGTTTGCATGTTTTAGAAATGAGCAAAATGAAAGTAAAAATCTACATGGCCTTAGAGAACAGGGTCAAAACAGTCCCAGTGTGATATTATCTGGAAATAACTCTCATTCAGCAGATCTTTAACAGGTCTTAAAAAGGAGCTTAGATAAACAATAACCATTTTGCACCATGTCTGACCTTCCTGCAGCCAAACGCTAGTGTTCAAACCAACCAGGTAATGGACCGGTTCTGACAAAGTTCATCTCTCTTCTGACAAAAGGATTTTACCAACACTTTATTTACACAATTCAAACAATACAATCAATTATTGATGCAAAAAAAAGTTAGTTACAAACCACTATTGAGGTAAAAACAAGTGTCAGTTTGTCGGAAGCATCTTGCTAACCAGTTAGCTACTTAGTGCTAGCAGGTTCCCAATGGGAAATTCCATTGGGACTGTCGCTACCCGATCCGTACCGGTAGCACGATCCGTACCATCAGCTCATTTGCGCCTGCGCGAACAGAATAACTTCCGGGTCGCCAAAAAATAATGTAATTACGGTACTGAAAAAACTTTATTTATATCCTTAAATAATTAAAGAATACTAAACTACGTCGTAAAGACAATATTGAAGACTTTTCTGGAAGAAATGGATGCTTTTTAAATTCAATCCATTGTATTGCTTGACGTCATTTTTCTGGAATAAAAATCCAAATTTTCGGGAAATGTTCCCTTATCAATGAAAAACTGCAGGTCAGGAAAGGTAGCAAATGAATCCATTGTGGGATCAGTACTGCTGGAGTGCATAGTTAAGTACAGAGTAAATCAAATATTTAAACAAATTTAAATATATACGCTGTGTGACGTATATTTGCGCATGCTCAGAGCAGTCAAAGTAACTATCACAAGGCGATTGAACTTTTTTATGTATTTCTGTTTTTTTATTTTTAGAAAATGCAATATTGACGAAAATACAAAGATATACAAAAAGAAACCCATGCCTCTAAAAAATACAAAAGAATAAAAAAGTAAGAAAAAGGCCACCGGAAGTTATTCTGTCTGAGCACGCGCAAATGAGCTGATGGTACGGATCGGGTAATGACAGGGACCAAGTAGCACTAAATTGGTGCCTTAGAAACGACGCTGTCAAGGAACGCTATGGACAGCGGAAACATGCAAGAGGAGGAGAGTTTAGTGTCGGAGGTCGTGGATGAGTCTCCTCCGTCATCCATTTTTTATTTAGAGGAGGAAAGCGGGGACGAAGATGTTGTGGAAGAAGACGCCAGGGCGGCAGAAGCTTGGTTTGGTGTAGAAGGCTTCCAGCCGTACATGTTTGAGCCCTTGCCTCGCAACGCTGCCAGTTCTGTTAGCTCTACGCCTGCCGAAGACACAGACGTCCATCCCCGTGAACACTGGGACGCAACTCAATGGGAAAGGAAAGGATTCTGGTTTCAACCGTTGCGTATATTAGCTGCGACACATGAATCAAGATGCTATGACCGAAAACATTTGATTGACAGATGACCGTTGATATATGATTGGCCGAATTTAGGTGTTCAGGCTGACGTAGAACTAACTGGCCTGCAGAAGATAACGGAAATATAACCCCACAGCTGAATAAAATCCTCCATGTTCTGTGGAAGTGAAACTCCAGCCTTATTGTGGCTTTAACCTCCTCAGACCCCCGGCATCAAGGTGAGGTCTTTCTCTGCGGGACAGGTAAACGGCCATCTTTGCTTCACTGATTAAAACATTTAAAAGTCTGGCCTTTGGCTTGTTTTTTTTCTATTCTGGTAAACTCCTCCTATCCAAAGAGTGTTTGTAAAAACCGTCCCAAAAAGACTAAAAACACTAATTAAAAATCGTCTTTAGTTTTGTGCGTTCCATAAAAAGACGGAACACATAATCAGACAAACTGCAGAAAGGACCCTCGTTTAAAACACTCTGATTAATAATCGATAAAAACCCGTTTGTGGCGACGGCGCCCTGTAAAATCCTCCATTGGAGATCACTGGATGTTTGTTTTTTTAATGGAGGCTTTTTTAAAGTCCTCCACTGGGTGCTTTTATCTGCAGTTTTTCTGTCCAGATGCAGACCGGCCAGTTCTGAAGAGGTCTTTGGTTTATTGCTTTTCTGCAGCTGTGGTGAAGGTCTTTCTGGTCCATATTCGATAAAACCAGTCTCTGTGGGTCCAGGCTGTAGAGCAGAGGTCTGCTTCGCTCTGGGGAAGAAAGGATCCAGGATCAGACCAGGAAAGGAGTCCATCGGATTCCGGATAGTTCTGACCCTTTAACAAAGGAGGCTCCTCTCCTTAGCGACATCTTTTCTCTCTGAA